GTTGGGTCAGAAAGAAATTTTTCTTGTCTTTTGTTCTAAAAAGAACTGGATGGTGTTAAAATACCTACTGCCTCCTCACCTCTTTTCCTACAAATCCCTTTTCTGATGTTATATGCTGATCATTCTCAAAACCCTTTGAAACCGAGCAGGATGTAGCATACATAACACTTCCCAAAGCTTTCTCCTGGATAAACTTATACAGGATCAAACAATCAGATAACAAATTTATTTGTTTCAGCACATAGTTGTATCTCTTACTGTATGCATATATTTTGTCCACAGACTGTCCGTCTTTGCAAGGATCCATACCACATCTGCGGGCCTCTTCTGCTGATTTAAAGCCGGGGTCAAAAGTGAGCCTTTCCTGTGACCCAGGCTTCCAGATAGTGGGAAACTCTGTTCAACACTGCCTTAACCTGGGACAGTGGACACGGCCTTTTCCCCGCTGTGAAAGTGAGTTGTCTCAGTAGGCTGGCAGGATTAGAAAACCCTAGCTTTTATTTGGACCCTATAACTATTCATGGCCTGTTTATCCCTGCAGCTATGTTGCACTTGAATCCATCCATGTTACAGCATATACATACATGCTTAAAAACTAAACTCATGTTTTACTGAGCAGGAGCTACACCATGCTTGGATTCTGCCACCTTCTTCAGTCAATTTCTAATGCCCATGACAGAAGTGAGTCTGTTTGGATCATCAATCTGATACTCTTAACTTTCCTCCACAGTGGCATGAAGAGTATGGAAGATGCACAGGAAATGCTAGAATATCTCTCTGATTTTTAAGTGTCACTGAGAACATCTGGTTTGAAGTAAAAGCCTTGCCATTAGTATGTTATAGAGTAATTTCGTTAAAGGCAGCAGATATTTCTGTCAGAAATTAAAAGTGCTCCAAGACTTACATGATTTCTTCTAAGAAACTGGTCTGTATACATTCAGGTTGCCAAGGTTCTTCGATTCCTGCTTTCCTACTCCTGCCTTCTCCTTTCCTTTGGTTCTCTGCTGTGACTGCACATGTGACTGCAGTTGCATGTGTTGAAGCTGACCATATTTTTCATTTCAGCAGAATAGTAAATTAGCTCCAGAAGTAGGTATTGCATGATCCCAAAATTGATCAGTAGTTTGGGGAAAATCATCAAATTCATTAAAAATACCTTAAAAACAGTTTGATCTAGATTTGATGCGATTTTCGTGTCTTCCTCTTTATTCAGTTGTTCATAGCACAAATCCAGGATCTGTCTCTACTTCTGCCTAAAGAATAGCATGCATGTGAGGATTTACCCAAAAGCTAGTCCTGCTGGGCACAGTGTAAGTTCACTGGCAGAGACAGCTTTGCCCTTGGTGTGTTACCAGTGACAAGCCACCAGAATCCTATTAGTGCTGTCATTTGATTTCTCTGTATTGGGCCAGGCAGTTTTACCTGTTGAGCACAGAGCCCAGACAGAACAGGGTTGACCTGCCATAAACATGCTGAGTGGATGAGGGCCAGACTCACCCGCTGGCCTTTCTCAGCTTGTTCCATAATTACCTGATGAATGAGAGAGGGTTGAAGATAGCTATTTCCTGCATAAAGAAGTACAGAGTTTGTAGTGGAAGGTGTGGTACAGAAAAGGTCCTGTTGACTGAATCAGGCTCATTGTAATCACTGCCTTCACCCACCAGGATCCTTTTCCTCTTCCTGATACCAAAGACCCCCAAAACCACAGTTCCCCATTCCCTGACAGCCTGTCTTTGTTACAGGCTTTTCAGTTCTGTCCCTCTACAGCAAGTACTTGGCTTCCATTACCACGGGCTCTAAACACTTCACAGTGTCTTACTGTATGATCCTTGCACGTGGCTGGGGAGCAAGGAGTTGTTACAATCCATGTAGTTAGAAAGATGAGCTGTGTAGCTATTGGAATAAATTCATGTCATCTTGATTGAAATGAAGATGCACAGAAGCAGTTCTGCTAGAATAAACAGCAACCTCCAGCAGGCAGGTACAATGATGCCTTCTGCTGGCACAGCTGGGATCAGAAGGGCTTATTTACTATAGCCAAAGTCAAAGTGATGCCCAAGGTTGTGTGTGAGGTCAGTTCCAATCTCTCCATCATTCACGCACTCCCTGGTCTCAGACCAGTACTGTAACCTCTTAGCAGTAATCTGTTAGCTAGTTTTGCAGTGTTCAAACACAGTAACATTGAACTTGTTTTTCAGTGAAGGGAAATAACAGGAACGTCTATGGAGGCAAACTTACTTTTCCTTTTTCCTTAAAACTCATCAAGAATCATTGATTATCAGGGGAAGTGTCCTGTGACTGAAGGGCATCTGCTCAGATCTTAGTGCCCACAAAACAAGACCCTCCACCAGACTTGAAATCAATTAGCTACCTCAGAAAAGGTCTGGGTCTTCTTGCGGATGGGATTCCACAGTTGCAAAGAAAAAATCTCTGGTGGTGGCTCTCATGTGGAATTATTCTGAAGTTGGTCTGTGTCCGTTCTGCTAACATCTGTGCCCTCTTTTCACTCGTGTTGCAGGAATCAGCTGTGGAGTGCCTCCACCTTTAGAAAATGGATTTTATTCAGCTGAGGACTTTTTTGCTGGCAGTACTGTTACCTATCACTGCAACAATGGCTACTATTTGTTGGGCGACTCCAGAATGTTGTGCCTGGACAACGGGAACTGGAACAGCATTTCACCATCTTGCCTTGGTGAGATGTGCCGTACATGTGGCTGCATGGGCTGGTGATCTTGCACTTCTCCTGTGCCCTTGGGTTTGGGTGGGATTTCATTCTGAAATTGTGAAGGATGACCAGAGTCTCAAAATTCACACTCCAAAATATTCACATTTCTGAAATACCATGCTCAGCATTATGTGAAACCAAAACTACATTCTGGCACCTTTCTCTGTCAGTTGTCTTGTATGCCCCACACCCTGTGTTTATCAAACATATATAAATTTATACATGTTCCTTTTCCGGGTTAAGTAAAGGTGGCCTGTGCACCTTGGCAAAGGCCAGTAAATTAATGTCTTAAATGGGAATTTAGGTAATGCGTCATGATCCAAGCCCCATACATCCCTACACACTATCGTACCCTACCTATTGAGTCGCCCTTCCACACAAGCTTTTGTCTCCACAGGCCTGTGTCCAGTCTGGGTCTGGTTCCCACCGCAACAGAGAAAGAGAAGAAATCAGTTTATTAATAGTCAATCAATCAATACAATTACAATTCATTAATACATTATGATCTTACAATAGGCTGTGCCTGACTCGTAAAAATATGCACAATATCTACAGATGAGAATAGTGCCCAATTTGATAGATGACAGGCAACTTTTTCCTCTCAGGAACCAGAGAGTCCCAGTTCTTTCAATAGTTCATAATTGCCTTGGTACCATTCTTCATAAGCCTGCATTGCACTCTCAGCCTCTCTTCTTCCAGGTTCATTTAGCCCTGGAGTCCTTGCATTCTCTGCTTCTAACCTGTGCATTTCCCTGTGCTTCACAGAATCATAGAATCGTAGAATACCAGGCTGGAAGGGACCTCAAGGATCATCTGGTCCAACCTTTTTAGGCAAGAGCACAGTCTAGACGAGATGGCCCAGCACCATGTCCAGCTGAGTCCTAAACGTGTTCGGCCTAGCGAGTCAACCACTTCCCTGGGGAGATTATTCCAATGATTGACTGTTCTCATTGTGAAAAATTTTCCTCTCGTGTCCAATCGGAATCTCCCTGGGAGTAACTTGTACCCTCTCTGGACCCCCTCCAGCCTGTCCACATCTTTTTTGTGTAACAGGGACCAGAACTGTGCACAGTATTCCAGGTGTGGCCTGACAAGCGCTGAGTAGAGAGGGATAATGACTTCTTTACCTCTGCTGGTGATGCCCTTTTTGATGCAATCCAGCATCCTATTGGCCTTCTTGGCCACAGCAGCACACTGTTCACTCACGTTGAGCTTCCTGTCCACCAGGACCCCCAGGTCCCTTTCCACAAAGCTGCTCTCCAGCCAGGTGGATCCCAGTCTGTGCTGCACTCCTGGGTTATGTTTTCCCAGGTGCAAGACCTTACACTTGTCCTTGTTAAACTTCATAAGGTTAAACTTCAGCACAATGTCAGTGTCCCATACTCAGGGACCAGATGTTCCACATGTGGAGGTTGTAATGTTTAATATCAAATTTACTTCTTTGAAGATAGTTGATGCTGGATTTCTGATTTAGAAGAGTGATACAAAATATACTGCATAACACAATACTAATAAATGCAAGTTACACTTAGCAAAATATAGCAATTGCAATACACAGCTGGATCAGAATACCAATGTGTTTCCCATTACCAGTCTCTATAATGTGCTCACCGTCATGACTCTGGGCGTCCCCAGTAGCCAGGAATGAATACGTGGGTTGAAGCCAGCTCAAGCCCATTGTAGTTGTCTGGTTTTTATACTCTGTGTTGGCCTGAGCCACATATTCAGTTGCCCCCCATGCTGGTCTGGCAAACTCAGAGAGACATTCACACTCTTTTAATGTACTCAGGGAGAAGCATTTACAGCACCAGTTGATCCACTCAACTGTTGATAGCTGTTTACCTAAAACAAAGGCCACCTTCCTGTCCCCTTGTGCTGAATCATCTTCTCTGTAACAGCAGCGGTCAGTAACACCCTACGTTATTCCCTGAGCTTCCTGGGCAGATCACCTTTGCCCATCTCCTCTGAGCCTTCTTCCGTTGTGGAGGTTGATGGGTCAGTCACGCACGCCTGTCAGCAAGCAGCTGCAGCATTGAGAGGGCTGGGCGTGCACTTATGGACACAGCTCACGTAGCTGCCACACCATAACTTACTCCCTGGTCAGCTGGGTCTGATGTACCAGATGCAGCTGGAGGAGTTGAAAGGCCAGCATTGTACTGTGTACGGAGGACTGGGTATGACTGTTCTTGTAGGGCCGTGTCTCCAGCAGATCCCTGCTGGAATCCACTAGCTAGCTGTAATTGGATTGCTGCTGTCTTAGTCATGCCTAACATAGGAGTTGCAGGGTAACAACCTGGCGAGATTTGTGTTTGATTTGACTCTTAATTTTAGGTTGGTATAGCACATAATTTTTTCAGTCAGGACGAGCAAAAGAAAAGCCAACAGTCTTTTAGTTCTGCCAAAATTCACTTCGGAGTAGGATCCATCTGGTTTCATAGCATCCTGTCTACTGGGACTCCTTCAGAACCTCCAAACAGACTGTCCAGTCTGTTGTTCCTCTCTTTGCTTTTGTCCTTTGCACTTTATACCAAGGCCTAAATATCAGCAGGCTCAGAGCAGATGCTGTAAGGCTGTCCAAATAGTTTGATGTCTGTGCAGTAGGAAGCATGATGTTGAGAAGGAGAAGCCCTGTGCCCCACCTTCCAGCTTGCCTCGTCTTTCATAAAGCAGAGGAGATTAAGGGGAAAATGAAAACATGAGTGGCTTTGGCATCCTGACCCACCCTTTACCTTACGGATTCACACTCCAGGCAGGTGCTAACAAAGCCTGATACACCTGTGCCCTGGGGCATTCCTTTTGCTCTGTTATGGATCTGATTCATGGTGTCCTTCCACTCTTGCTTGCCTTACAAGACATTACAAGGAGCTGTCATTCCAGTTCTGCTGTAGTAGCACTTTGCATTCTCCCCATGCTTGTGTAATTGGCAACTCTTTCGATTTTAACATGCGCTTTTCATCTGCATGGCAGAAAGAAACTCATTGTCTTTTCAGAACATTTTTGGGTTCTTGTCCTGCTGGCCACACTCATTCAGCCGTGAAGAATAAACACACCAATTCGGTAAATTTTGTTGCTTTTTTAACCAAGTTGCTTTTTTGCCTGGAAATGGGCAAAAAGCTCCAGCTATATGTCCGCATGATATACCTAGTTCAACAGCTGTCCTGTAGCAAGGCTTTTGAACGAAGGATTGGTCTATCTATCTCTTAACAGTCTGGTTTATATAAGGAATAATCCCTGATGCCAGCATTTTTCAGTTAGATACTTTGAAATTGACCGTTTGCAATTTATGACTCATTGTTTACATACCAAGAACACTTCTGTACAGTCAGGATTTGAAAGCTGATAGGAAGTATTCTGGAGTGAGGGGGTTTTTTTGCTGTAGAGTACCAAGCCACATGGAGCATAAATCATCAGTGGGCATTTCTAGGCACTACGATCATATAAATAGTTAATTATAATAAATAATAAATAATATATTCCGAACTCATTTTAACTTTTCTGGCAACTGCAGGCACTTCTCATTCCTAGTCTAATGTCTCTTCAGCAAAGATGGGGCTATAGTCATATTTTATGTCTCCTCTTCGCTAAGTTTTCCTGTCTTACAGGTGGAAAGTTTGACGTATAGAGGATTTTCCGAGCAAGTGTTTAATGCAGAAATCCTCCCTCATAGTGTCTGTCCAAACTAGTAGTAACAGCCTATAGCATCTTAGAA